TCTTACCCTGGTCTCTAGGCAGCTTCTACTAACATTTGCTAATCAGAGGTCTGATTCAGAACCCAGATTATTTACTCAGGATCCTGAGTGAGTTTGGGACTAGGTTTTAGAAAAAATGGCAATACTCTTAGACACTGGATTAATCAATTCAATTCTTGTTCAGTCAGTTCAGTTCAACTCAACAGAATTCAGTTAAAGTAGCCATAGCCACTTATTAAGCATTTGGTATCAACACAGTCCAGTTCCTAGACTTCAAATGTGCTCTTTGAGATCTCTTCCTTGCCCTTATTAGCATAAATAATATGATGGCCTGCCTAGTGAGGAGGGAAGCAGATAGTGATTTCCAGCAGAGGCTGGCTGATCACTTATCAAGAATATTATAGAGGGGAGTCATGCTTTGGGCAGGGGGTTGGACTAAGTGACTTCTGACTTGTTTTCCAGCCTCAGGAGTCTATGAAATAATGTTGGTTTCCTAAGACTTTTCCAGGAAGCAATGGTCCTGGCTTTCAACAGCTTCTGGTGGGGCAATCTTACACAAGAATATCACAAGCCCTGTTTTGAAGCAAACTCTAGAATACAATCCTACTCCGACCCCTTAGGATTGCTAAATTTTTTTGAAAGAAAAAAAAGTCTCCCATCTTGGATTTTGACATTTTAGTTACTGAAGCAAAAAATAGGATTGACAAAGACAAGAGTTTCTTAAGTGGACCCTTTTCAATTCTTACTCTATAATTACTGCCCTGTGCTTCCCTTTAGGTATCACCCATCCAGCTTGGAGAAATCCCGTGGACATTGAGCCAGGTAGGATCTCACAAGGCATCAATGGGAGTGGACCAAGCTCTTTTCATTTTGGACGTCCCCACGCTGAAGATCATTGCCTTGTTGCATAAAACTCACCCAACAGGAGTCCGTACATTTTGGTTTCCTTTGCTTAATTGAAATTTCCTTTCCTCCACCTTGCAATCCCCTTCCCTTTCCTCCTTTCTGCTGCTACAGATTGTACCTATCCTTCAAGGCCTAGCTCACACAATCTCCTCCATAAAGCCTCTTCTCACCACTTCATCTCAAATCACCCTTCCCTTCTCAACTCCCATAGAATTTATTGCCTGGTACTACTCGTGGGACATTTATCACGATCTTGTGTCGTGAGCTGTCTTTTTTAGGTGTTAGTCTTCTATCACTAACCAGTTTGTCAGCTTCGTAAAGATGTCTCACATTCATCTCTACATTTCTTTCAGTGTCTAGAATGGTGCTCAGCAATTTCTGGTCAAATGAATGAACTTTAAAAAAATAGCAGCTGGCATTTACATAGATAATGCTTTAAGGTTTGCAAAGTGCTTAAACATTACCTTATTTGATCCTTTCTATATACTTACATAGTTAACCCTGGGAGGTAGGTTCCCCCTTTTACAGATAAAGAAACTGAGGCAAATAGGATTCAGTGACTTATGTAGGGTCACACAGCTTATAAGTGTCTGAAGTTGGATTTGAACTCAGATCTTCCTGATTCCAGGTCCAGCACTCTATCCACTGTACCACCTAGCAGGTGCCATCTCTTGCTTACCTCGTAAACCTTAAAGCACTCTCAAATCTCTCAGGTTCTAGTTTCTACTCATCTTCTGTGGCATCTCTCCATTCTCTCCTCCCTCAACCTCCCTTTCGCCTTCTGCACCTACACCTCTGTCAACTTCATCTATCAGACTATATAGTGTATAGGAAAATATTGAGGGGTGGGGCAGTGAGGGAGGAGAAACAGCTATATCGCGAAGTTAAAAAAAACTCTGAGAAAACCAGTTTTGGTCGACTTGATTCCATAGAAGTTTAGAGGAGGAGACTTTAGAGGTCTTTTAGGCCTAGAGGAAGTAAGGGACTGGTCTAAAGCCACACTAGTAGGTGACAAGGCTGGCATCAGAATCTAGGTCTCTTAATCTACATATCTTTTTACAAAAATGTTTTTATTAGTAACACACTCATTTCAATGTGCAAAGAAGATGAAAAGAAGGATTTTATATGAAAACATGAACTTCTGTTATATATTGTGAACATTTTTTTAAAAAAGTATATATTAAACTTATTAAAGTAGTAATGAAATTGCTGTCTTTTCCCCTGTTCTTCCCATCATGCTGTGCTAAAGATCTCAACAAGTCAGAATGTTAGGCCAAATCTAATTAGATCAAATTTAATAGGAGTACATGAAATGTCCTGTGCTTGGGTTAGAAAAAAAAATCAACTTTACAAGTACAAGATGGGGAGGCATGGCTGGATAGCAGTTTGTCTGAAAAACAATGAGTCTTTTGTAAATTATAAACTCAATGTCCGTAAAAAATGCTACATGGGAGCCAAAAAGCTAATGCAATATGAATTAAGAGAGGTAGAATGTCTTGGAGAAGGGAAGTGATAATCTTGATATACTCTGTTCTGGTCAGAACACATCTGGAGTATGGTCTTCGGTCTATGTATGATAAGCTGGAGAGTGTCCAGAGGAAAGAAACCAGGACAGTAAAGGCCCTCAAGATCACAGCAGATAAGGGCAAGTTGAATGAACTGGGAATGTTTATCTTGGAATAATGAGAACTTAAGGAAGACATGATATTTATCTTCAAGTACATAGTAGAAGAGGAACTGGACTTGTTCTATTTGGTCCCAGAGGGCAAACAAAAGATCAATGAACAGAGAGACAGATTCGGTTTAATGTTGGGGAAAAAACACCTAACAATTAAAGTTATTCAAAGGTGAAATGCACTGCTTTGGGAAGTAAATGGGCTTCTTTTCACTGGAGGTTTTTGAACAAAGGCTGGATGACCACTTGTCAGGGGTTCCTTGCTCAGGTCCAGGTTAGACTAGATGACCCCTGAGATTTCTTCTACCTCTGAGATTCTATGCTTCTGTGACTATCACTTGCTTCTTTGTGGACATGATGCCTCTCTAAATGCAGTTTCTTTCTGCACCAACTCTGGTTTCATCATTTTTTTTTGCCACCCCCAACAATAAAAACAAGACATTGGTTTGTCTTCTGAAGAAATCTATCAACTAAGCCATATTTCCACCTTGAGCCTGCCCTTGATAACCCAGAACTTTATAATGCTCTCTGTTTGCCAAGGGACTCCTGTTTTGGCTCTCTACAAGTTGCTTGCCTTCCTCAGTTAGTACCTCTGGGGAAGTCCATAGTCTTGGGCCATTGTTGTCCTCATGTTCACTCTTCTCCCTCCTTGTCCTCTTCACTTCTTCTATCTCCTTAAGACTGGGATCTCTGTGTCCTCCATGGTGATAGGAGCCAACCTGTTTAATTTAAGAGATGAAGTGTGGTTTGGTGAAAAGAGTACTGGATCAGAATTCAGAAGACCTGCCCTCTGGTAGTGCTGCCACTTATTAGCTATGAGGTTGGGAAAAAAGTTGTCCCTTCTGTTTTAGGCCTCAGTTTCCTCATCTGTAAAATGAAGGTATTGGGAGAGATGATCTCTAAGGATCTCCTTCTACCCCTTTCTCCACATTAGAAGTGAGAGCAGCTATCTGTTCTCACAGGCAATTGGCTTTTTAATTATGTCCTTCTGGACAGTTCCTTCTGGAGATCTTGTCCCTTCTGTGTTCTGAATACACACACAGACATACGCACATAACATGGAAAGGATTTTAGAGGTCCTCAAATTCAACCCTCTCGCTTTACAGATGAGGAAGCTGAGGCCCAGGGAAATTGAATGACTTGCCCAAGGTCATACAGGAAGGAAGTTTGAGGAGTAAGATTTGAACCTGGACTCTCTGGGCCTGAAATTAGTATTCTTTTCACAGTATTATGCTGTCTCTTACCTGTGGAGGAGTGAACTTGTGTATGCTTCCTCATAGATGATTAGATCTAGAAAAGACCTTAGAAATAAAATAGTCCAGACTTCCTCATTTTATAGGCATGGAAACCGATGCCTTGAGAGGATAAGTGATTTGCCCTAGGTCACATGGCAAGATAATGGTAGAAATAAGAACTAGAACCCATTCTCCTGAGTCCTAGCTTGGTGCTCTTGCCTTGACACCACACAGTCTCAGTCAATCAACTTCCTTAGGAGTGGAGGATAGTTCCTGATGGCCCAAGAGAAAGGTCAGTTCTGGCATCAGCTCTCAGTCCTATATCTACAGACCATGGGCAAGATCCGCCCATATTGGTGGTTTAAGGGTAGAAGTGTGAGGGAGTGGGCTCCTTTAGTTCTCTTTGCAAACGTATTTTTTTAGGGGTGCCCAGTTTTGCACAGTGAAAAGAGTTCTGGACTCAGGTTCATGGAACCTGGGTTTAAATCATTGGCTCTGCAATTTGCTATCTGAGTAATCTTGGGCAAATAACTTCGCCTTTCTGAGCTTCAGTTTCCTTATCTGTAAAATGAACGAGCTGGACTAGATAACTTTTAAGGTCTTTTTCAGCTCTAAATATATGATTTGTGATCCTATGATCTGGCCACAGCCTACCTTTCTCGTCTTGTCTGCCTCTACTTTCCTACAGGCAACCTCTGCTCCAAACACTTTAATTTCTAAATATTCTATTTTTTCTATTCTACATTTGCTAAATATTCTTTGGCTTCCCCCAATCTATACCTTGCTTATGCTATTTACTCCTGACAATGTAGAATGCCCTTTCCCTAGTATCCTACTGTCAGAATCCTGCCCATTCTTGAAGGCTCAGCTTACAGGCCATCTCCTCTGTGAAGCTCTCCCTGTTCTCCCCAGGCCATGATGATTTTCCCCTCCCCAGAACTCCCATAACTCTCATGGCTTGTATGGTTACCTAGTCTACCTAACTAGATTGTAAACTCCCTGGAGGTAGGTACTAATTCTGATACCTTTTTCTATCTTTGTCTTCCTCAATAAATGGATTAGCTGATGGATAGATTTAGGGGGCAAGTCACTGTTTTAGGGGGATGGTGAGGCATAAGTAGTGTGAGGTTTGCCTAATGGACAGAGCCTTGGGGATGTTGGGGTGGGGAAGAGGAAAGATGAATAACCAGAAGAAACAATGACTCAAAGAAAAACTTTATTGTCCCCAATTGTCATCAGGACCCCAGCACCCCCTTCCCTATTATTTTTTGCCCTCCTTCTTTTGGCTCTATGGAGTCGAAACACTTCATTGTTGGGGGAGGGCTACGTGCAGGGGAGGGAAAGATGAGTGCGAAGGAGAGGGAGATTTTGCCTCTCATCAGTGAGGCCCTTCAAGGCCAGGCCCGTGGTGCTTCCCGGGAGGTGCATTTTCATGCATCTTTTCATGGGTTTCCATGACCACACGTGCTATCATCACAGCGAACTCCTTGAAGTCAATATCAGAATCTAGATTTGTGTCCAGTTCTTCAAAGAGACTTTGGACATCCTTCAGATCCTTGGAGTTCTGGGACAGAGGGAAGAAAGAGATATGTTGGTTACTAGAAGATGTGTGGTAAGGAGCAAGGTAAATTCATAGCCTGGGACTCCTGGCAATGATCCTGATCTCTTGTAGGGCATTGGGAAAACCCCATACTGATTGTCCACACTAGTGAGGATGTACCCTTAAGAGTCCAGGGCTATGACAACATTATATCACTAGTGGGCAGTATAGATGTGCTCGCCCCTTCCCCATCTTCTATAAATAATAGTGCAGTAATGATAACACCAGCACTGGAGATAGGGTTGATGGCTAAATAAGTTCTTAAAATTGCATAGCAATGTCAACCATGTAGAGAGGCTTCTCAGCTAGTGATACAGTGGATTTGGGGTCTACACTTGCTTCCAAGGAAGTATGATAATACTAAATGATGATAGCTACCATTTATATAGCAGTTTAAGTACTTGACTTGTGTTGTCTCATTTGATTGTCACATCGGTCCTGTGACATAGGTGCTATTACTAGTCTCATTTTACAGAAGAGGAAACTGAGGCTAAGAAAGATTAAATAACATGCCTAGGTTAAGGAGAAGTGGCTGAGGCAGGATTTGAACTCAGATCCTTCCCAGTGCCATATGTGGTACTGTATCTGCTACATTAGTGGTATCATGCTCACATAGAAGTGGATCTCTGATGTATGAACTTAGAAAACCACAAATTTACATTATCTATGTTGTATTCTATTTTTACTTATTTTGTTAAACTTTCCCCAATTGCATTTTAATCTGTTTTCAGGCACTCCATGCAGCAGGCAACCAGCTGTCAGTCTGGGTTCAAATCCTATCTCAGACCCATGCTAAGTATATAACTATGGGCAGCTCATCTAATCTCTTAGAGCTTTGGTTTCCTCATTTGTAAAATGGGGATGATGATAGTAGCAGCACCTACCTCCCAGGGTGGTTGTAAGGCTCAGATGAGATAATAAATGAAAAGCACACTCCAAACTTTAAAATGCTATATAATATTATTGCTATTACTGCCTAGCAGAAAAAATGAACCCAAGGGCCTCACCCAAACCTTGGGCCACAGTCTCATCTTCCTAACTAGGATCGATTCACTTTGCCCTGGCACAATATCCAGTCTTTTTTATTTTTTGCCTTCCTTCTTTTGGTTCTGTGGAGTCAAAACACTTGCTTGTTGACAGTGGGGATATGGGCAGGGGAGGGAGAGATGAATGTGAAGGAGAGGGAAACAGGAATGGGGCTTTTCCTGTTATAGGGGCATAGAAGGAAGGTCTGGAAAATACTGGTGTAGAGTGGCAGCTGTGGGTAGTAGAAAGATCTCTGGATTTGGAGTCAGAGGAGTTGGCTTTATGTCTAAGCTCTATTACCAGAGGACTGTGAAACCTTCAGTAAGTAATTTTTATTCTTTGTCCTCAGTTGTCTCATCTGTAAAGTGGGGGTGTAAAGTATGATAGGTTGAGATGGATGATCTCTAAGGTCTCTTCTAGCTCTAAATCTATGACCCTAAGATTCTTGGGATGATTTTTAAAAATGGGGCCAAAGAAGTTGGTCTCCTGCATCCCTGGATCATCCCATCATGGACTCAAAGAGCAATAGCCTTCTAGAGTCATAATGACCCTCAGGAGGCAATCCTTCAGGAACTCAGGCCCCTGTTGTTGTCCTGGCCCAAACCAAGGTGTCCCCTGAAGCTCCTGGGACTTCCAAGCTGTGCCATTTTCTTTACTCCACTTCTCCCCACCTCAGCACTTTTGCTCCCAGACCTCACCTTGATGAAATGTGGCATCTCCTTGTTCAACAGCTGCTTCATTTCCCTCCTGTTCAGGGCATCTAGGTTTCCAGAAATCTTAGAATATTTGTGGAAGACATCAACAAAGATCTTCAGGGAACTTTTCAATGAACAGGTTTCCATTGTGTTAGTTGACCTTGGGTCAGTCTGCATGGAGAAGCAGCAGAGTGAGTTGGGGTGCTGGAATCTGTCTCCCTGTGCACTGGTCAAGGAGGGTTAAGGAGGGAGGGTGGGTGACTACATAAAGGGAGGCCCATGAGCCTTTGCCCTTGCAGCCTAACTTAAGAGGGGATGGGATGGGATGGATTAGGGAGAGACACATATACAGGACTTCAGTCTTAAGGTCACTCACACTGGCTAAGAAAGGATTCAGAGGAATGTTATCCAAATTAAATACAAAAAGATGGAATGAGAGTTAATCAGAGAGGGATCTCTGAAAGAAATGCCTTTTAAGAAGAGTTTGGAGGGAGTTAAGGGGATGCCAAGTAGCAAAGGAAGGAGGTGGAAGTACCCCTGGGCTTGGGGTGGGAGATGGGAAGTAGCCTATGCACAAGCTAAGGGCTATGAGGTGGTGGCGGTGGAAGCCCTGGCCTCCCTGACTCAGGGAAATCAACGAGGTCCTTGACTTACCACAGAGCAGACTGGAGGAGAGCCGTCTGCTTCACAGAGAGGAATGGAGTGAGTGGGGCAGGCCTGACATTTATAGGAGTGCCCTGCTTGGGCTCCAGGATGGTTGCCAGTGGAAGATGATTCGTTCTTTTCTTCAGTGATTGCTTCACAGGTGTGTAGTTTGGTAATTTTGAGCGGGGTTGTCACAGTCCGGAAGGGTGTGGGGGGCAGGGCAGAGGTTGGAGGAAGGGGAAAGGGAACTGTTTACATTTCTCCTTTGTCTTTTTGTGAAATTCGCAGTTCTCCCCCCCCCCCAACTCCCCCTTCTGCCCTCCTCCCCCTCCAAGCTGGTTTGGGAGGAAATAAATTGGCCTCTGCCTTCTCAGCAGCAGGTACTACAGGCTTTCACCACCACAGCTGGCCTCAAAGGGCATTTATCTTGTAATTAAGCATATTAGAGTTATCTGTATACGTTTCTTATTCATTTAGGGACTAAATTCCATGAGGACAGAGATCATATCTTTCTTAAACTTTGTGTTTTCTCTAATTCCTGGCATAATGTTCTACACACAGTAATTAGAATTCATTAATTCAATAAGAAAAAAATATTATTAACTGTCTCCTATGTGCTAGGCCTGGTGTGAGGGGTTAGGGGAAGGGTGGGGACCCTGTGGCCTTCTAGGTCCTCAAAGGGCCTCTCTTGAGGACCTAAAGGCCCACACGTGGCCTCGAGGCCACAAGTTCCCCACCCCTGTCAGCTAGGGTATATGTGATAACTAAGAAACTTTTTCTTGAGAAGCCCATCTTGTAGATAGATATCTACCAATACTTAACATATAAGCCAGAGTATAAGGGAATAAGAATAAGAGTAATATACCTTGAGAGCTAGAAATTTCAGTGGCCACCTAGTTTGATTTTCTCATTTTGCAGATGAGGAAAGAAAGACCCAGAGAGATTAAGGGATTTAGCCAAGATCTACAGCTAGTATACATGAGGGTCAGGACTCAGACTTACCACAGAATCAGAGATTTAGAGTTGGTGATAAAGTTGGGGATTTAGCTTCAACCCCCTCCTCTTATAAACTAGGAAGCTGAATCTCAGAGCGACTTGTCCGAGATCACATAGGGAGTAACTGGCTGAGACAGAACTTGAATTTAGGTCTTTTCACTTTGCCTCTCATCTTCTTTATGCGTCCTCAGGTTTTCTAACACCAAGACCAAGGATTTCTCCATTACACTACATTGAGAATTACAAAGTACTTTAGGAATTCAGAGAAAGGACAGATTTCTTTTGGCTGGGAGAAGGGGTTTTGTGAGGAATATTCAGGGGAAGACTTAATGGAGGAGATGGTATCTAAGTTGAAAGGGATCTTGAAGGATGGGTAGAATTTATACAGAAAGATGGGATGAGGAGTATAATATGTAAAATCAATAATCAATGCCTTGAGGGCTTTGCTCTGTATTGCCTTGCTAATCTTTTATCAACTACAATCATTTTAATCAGATAAGAGGTAATTGTGATTTATGGTAAGAATATAGTCCCAGGTAAAAGCATGTGTGTGTAACAGAAACTAAGATGTAGTGCCAGGGAAATCCCTGTGCTAAGTTAATTTTAGGAATATAATTATAATCATTTTTATATTAAAATATACTGGGTAAAAGGTGGACCTAGCCTATAATGTAAAAAGGTTTGCTTCTTGTAACACCATAAAAATAAACTTACTGTACTTACTGTAACATCATATGTAAAGAGTTGTGTATTGAGACACCATGGCCTGCTTGAGCCAAAAGCCTGCTTGAGTAAAAGGGTGCTGACCATTTACACCATAGCCAGCCTACTTGCACCAAAAGTGAATCAAGAGAACTATAAATAACTGTGAATTCTGTTATTCAGGTTCTCAAACCCTGAATACTGGACAGACTGTAGACCTCACCTTTGTTTCTCTTAATAAAGGGTGCTTTCTCTGCCCAGAAAGGCTTCCCAGTTTCTTTATTCCAGGAGAGCATTTTGGGCTAGGAGATTTATGTGAACGGAGACTCCCATTTGAAAAAAGCCTAAGCCAGTGTGGGGAAGAGAGCTGGCAGATTGTTCTGGCTGGAGAGGAAGGTAGGGTTCATACTGTACAATGCTTTGAATGCCAAGCTAAATGTATATGGAATTGGCCTTGTTTGCTGTTAATTTTCTTTCCCCAGTAGCATCTTGGATGAAGGCACAGACAGCATGCTTTTCATACTTGCAGATGACAAGAACTTGGGAGGGATAGTTAGTGCAGTGCATATTTAGAATCTCAAAAGGTCTCTATAAGCTAGAAACACAGGCTGACTCTTAGAAGATATCATTTGATAGGAATAAATGTGAAGTTCCACAACTGGGTTCAAAAAGTCAAGTTCACAAAGATGGGATTAGGAAGACCTGATTAGAAAGTAGCCTATGTAAATAAGACCTTGGAATTTTAGCGTACAATAGACTAAATATGAGCCAACAATATGGCAGGGCAGACCAAAAGTCTATGAAGGTTGTATTAATAGAGGCATAGTGCCGAGAAAGGAAGTGATAAGGCAAAATCAAAAGAGGAGTAGTTCTTTTTCATGTATCAGTGGGACTAGGTGATCCTCTGAGGTCATTTCAAACTCTGAAATTATGTGATTCTGTGGGAATGGAGACCAGGCCCTTTGAGGTTTGATGGAAGCAGCTAGGGATGTGTAGCCTGGAGGACAGAAGACTAAGTGGTAGGTTGAGGAGGGCATGATAGTTGGCATTGAACATCTGAAGGGTTGTCATGTGGAAGAGAAAGAGATACTTGTTCTGTAAATCTTCAAAAGACAGATTTCACCTTGATGTTCAGAAGAGTTTTATAATAATTAGAACTGTCCCAAAGTGGAATGGACTGCCCAGGGAAATAATGGATTCCTTCAGTGGAGGTCTTTTTTTTTTTTGTTAAATAACCAATTGTTATGTGTGTTATAAGGGGGTTCTCTCTCAAGTTTGGTTTGGACTAAGATTAGGGGATCTTCCCCTGGGGGAGGGAAATCCCATTTGGTAATTCTATTTCAGCACAATTGGGTTCCTTTGTAATCCAATGTATTTTATTTTATTCATTTAAAAACATTATTTTGAGGAAGGGCAACTAGGCTTTGGCAGACTTCAGAAGGAATCCGTGACACAAGACACAAAACGGTTAAGAGCCCATGGACTAGAGGGACTCTACGCCTGAAGAGACTTAATAAGAAATGTTAGGGGCAGCGAGGTGGCGCAGCGGATAGAGCACCTGCCCTGAAGCCAGGAGGACCTGAGTTCAAATGTGACCTCAGGCCAAACACTTGACACTTACTAGTTGTGTGACCCTGGGCAAGTCACTTAACCCCAATTGCCTAAAAAAAAAAATGCTAATTGTCTGACTGAATCACAGCTCAGAAATCACAGAATTTCAGAGTTGGATAATACCCATCTACTCCAACGTATGCATGAAAGGAATGTCCACGAACATGTCAGTAAGTGAGCTGTGTAATTCAGTTAGCTGAGGTTCATGGAGAAGGGTGGTGAACAGTAAAAACTGGGAAAGGGCGAAGGGGCCAGAAGAGAAGGCTTTGAATGTCAGGCTAGGAGTGCTTGAAATTGACCCTGAAGACTGTAGAGGACCACTGGAAGCTTCCGGTCAGTGGATGAGGTGGGGTTGAGGTTAATTTTATAGGAAGTATGCACTGAATTATTCTAGCAGCCTTGTGTAGGCAGGGAGGCCAGTTAGGAGACAATTGCATTAGCAATGAGGTGGTGAAAAAGAGTTACTAGGCATGAGAATGGAAATGAGGGGCCAGATGCAAGAGGCATTGTGAGGGAATGCACAGTTTTGTAAATACTTCCTCTTTCTACACTGGCTTAGCACTCCTATTTGCTATCATCCCATTATTTCATGTGAGTCTGTATTAGTGTACCTGCCTTTGCCAGGAACCTGCAGAGAGTAAGCCTGCCCCACAGGCTGCCCAAGTTTCTGTGCAGTGCCCTGAGGAATATTTGCCATTTCTTGGTATTAGATTTTTATTCATACTGGTATTGGGGTGGGGCTGGGGAATCCCCCCCTCCTTCCAAACTTCCCTATTTCTGTTGAGGGCAATAACATCTCTCCAATCCCTGAGGTTCAAAATCTTGACATTATCCTTGATCCTCCCCTGTCTCTTACTACCCATATCCATTGGTTGTCAAGTTTTGCAGCTTCTGCCTCCTCAACATTTCTTTCATCTTTTATCTACTCTTACAGCTGCCATCCCGTTTGAGGCCCTCATCACTTCTCACCTGTACTATCACAATAGTCTCCTTCCTAACTGGACACTCACCTTCCAATCTATCTCTTCTCCAATCCACATTCCACACAGTTGCCAAAATAAAATGCCTAAAGTACAAGTCTGATTGTATCATTAGCTTTAGTGGGTCCCTATCACCTCAGGAAAAAATGCAAACTCTTCATATTGGTATCTAAAGTCCTTCCCAACCTGACTGCAGAAGATTCTTCTACATTTATTTCACGTTATTCCCTTTCACTCACTGCACGTCTGGGCCTGCTTACCATTCCTCAGACCTGGCATTCCATTTCTCACCTCTGATTTTTGTACGGTGTTGTGGGCGACGATGCTAGTAGAACTAGGGAAGCTACCATAATATCAGCAGGGGTGTGTGTGTGTGTGCACACGCATGTGTGTATGTGTGTGAAAACCAAGAAGCAATGGAGTTGGGGCAGTTTGAGTCAATTTACCCCCAGGTAAGTTGATTTGGGACCCAGATGTGGGCCTTTTGGGTAAGAAGGATATAAAAACAGTTTCAAGATTTTGGCAGAACATTCTTGACACTTCAGGGAACTTCCTTTCAGATAGCTATTATTTAATCTCCTTGACTATGGCTTTTACTTGTTTTTACTTCTCTGGACTATTTTTTTTAAAAAAAATCTCCTTTTAGATTGCTGTGAGCTGGGGGTTGTCAGATATATATATATTTTTTATTAAAGAAATTGTTTATTTGAATTCTCAGGCTCTGGAGTCCTTGGAACCAGATGCGGAACCTTAACGGAGACAATAAGTGTCTCCTGGGCCTGGAATACGCTCCCTCCTCACCTTTGATTCTTAGAATCCCTAACGTCC